AATTCTCGAGAGGGACGTTAAACAAAATACAATCAATCAATCTATATTATATTAATTCCGTGGATCAATCATTGTGAAATGAATCTATTATATGGCAATGGACGGTGAATTTAGGAAATTTATGGTCGGAGCCACAGATGCGTCTACAATAATGAATCTGAGACATTCCATTTGATTATTTGTGCCATTTCAATAGGAGTTTTTGTGAAATATTAATATTTAATGCTATTAATTTACTACATTGTTCATATTAAAATATTTACATTCGCTGTGTTTTTCTACTAAGCAAACTGTGAAATTGATTTGAAAACCATTTTCATGTATACTCATGCGTAGAAATATACACGGAGAAAAGTGACGTCACAATAAGGATACAGCGACATAAGTAAAAGTACAACAATATAGGGCAGCAAGAAATTCAAATTTTGAGTATGTTCTTGATGCTTCAAAACATGTGAAAATGTAAATATAGTATCGCGATTCATGAAACATGCCTACATGACAGGTCTGTGTGATCCACACACCAATAACTCACACAAAACTTAAAAACTTTCCTTAATTGTTTGATTTGTCATTGCCCTTTAAGTGCTGTCTACTTATTTGTTTCGCACTTTCTTCTCATTTTAACGTTACATGTACCTGTCCAATAAGTTGAATCTTATTGGACACCCACAGGTAACTTATTGGACGGGGTGCAGGCCAATAACAAATTTCTTGAACCAGGTTTAACAAAGATGACGTAATTTTTTTCTTTAATGATAATCATTGTGTTCAGTAATTTTGTTTTTTTTATAGATATGTTTATTGAATAAGAATTTACTTTATACTAAAAAAATATATTCTTTGAAATCAGAACACTCCCTCCCTAAATTACTTTTTTAAGTGAAATGGAACACAATTAGTATAAAAATCCTTTCTTATTTTTTTGCATGTGTTTTAAAAGATGTCAAAGAAAAGAAAACCTGTGGCTTGTTCATTTTAACTTTTGTTAATTTCTGTAAAATAAATCTAATATAAAAATGTATCTTATTCATTTTGTCTATCTAAAGATATGTCAACCTCACAGAAAAGCATGTCGACCTTGTATTTCGTGCGCGGCCAACGTGCTTTTATGTGAAGTCGCTATATCTATTGATCGACCTCATGAAAGGGCTATGTAAAGGTTATAGGCCAAAAACTGTCCCTTCTGTGAGAAGAAAGAACTGTTGGAGGGCCGTTAGGCTCGACAATAGTTTTTTTTTCTCACAGAATGGACAGTTTGAGGCCTATAACTTACTTAAAACATTTACCCTATTGTGTTCATAATGTACTCTCTTAGAACTTTCTCTCATCCATTGTATTAAGTTAGCATTGTCTACTTATTGGACTGTCTCAGGTGAAGGTTTTATGACAGTCAAAAGAAGTCAAAAGAAACATGTATTCATTGTAATTGTTAAATTAGTGGACAGTTACAGGTAAGTGCAATTTTCAAACAACTGACTAACGAATATTTAATCACAAGGCATGAGATTCCATCACCATTTTAATGTGATTGTGAATGTTGAAAGCATGTCTTCTTCCAAGGAAGCATATTTTTATGCAAAACAACTTCAGATATGAAGGGCAATGCATACCGGGGTATGTCATTCTTGTGATATTTTAAGCCTAGGATTGTCAAGAAAATGAATTTTGAGCTCAAGGTTGACGTTTTATTTTTTTCAAACATTTCTCAACGTTTGATCAAGGGTTTTCAAGGATGCAGAAAAACAAAGGGAACGTAGAAAGGTTTCCGTAATTTAATCAACAATATTCAGATGATTTAGAAGAGGATAATCAGAGCAGAAATGTAAACTGGTTCTTATTGTGTTTTTTAACTGACAGAGAGAATGTTACACGGTACCCAACGTGTATGAACGTTAAGGTGTTGCGTGATAAAGAAATCAACAAAATTATAAGCTTTCTTTTCGCCGAAATCAGAAAAAAAATCGGAAGATGAGTAGACAAGGCTATATACAAAACACCCTTGCATTCCTGTAGCAGAAAAACGATGGATGTGCTCATGTAGAAAAATGAGCAAAATTATATAAAGTATCAGTGATAATAAGAATTTAAGGAGCGACTGTTTCTTGCCAGGAGAAGTGATATCCCCTCGTGTGTTGTTGGTGCAAATTACATTCCAATAGATTTCGGATCGAGATATTTCCTTCAAATTTAACTTTTGATGTTCATTGTGAGCTGGAATATACATTTCATCATTTATTGGAATAATTACAAAGTTTCAGTTTTTGTGACTTTGAATGGATTATTTAATTACACTGTACATGTGAAACTGTTGGATTCATTGTCTGAAAAATATTTATTTGTGTTGTGTTTTCTTAATCTAATGGGGTCTCAACTAATTTTTATCTGTCTCATTTATTTTTTTTTAACATAAGTTCGATGTTATGGGCAATTTGGAAAGACAATTTGACTTTTATTACCAAGGTAAATATAATTTAATAGATTTATCAAAGAAGTTGTTTATGATTACAAAATTAGTCCGAAACAAATGGTGTGGTTTTATTCACTTATTTCCAAGTTCATATGATACAAGTAACAACAGGAACAATGACATGATGTCCATTCAATTTCTTGCAAATTTTAGCATATTCTGATTTGTGTTTTATTTTAATCACATATGCAATCGAATTTGTTCTAAATGTAATTAACTAATGTAATTTGGCGTTAAAGGAATAGAAAGTGTATTTAAAACCTAGGAAAGTGAATTAACTTGCAATGCAGTGGTGGCTATTATTTTTAAGTCAATGCCAGAACTTCATCTCAATTCCTTACGGCAATGTGTTTATTGTTGGCCAATGCAGGTTGCACAACTATAAAAAGGGCCAATGCAGGTTGTACAACTATAAAAAGGGCCAATGCAGGCAATGTGAATCGCTCTTTATTTATCCTTTTCCCTCTCTCTTTCTATCTATGGTCACTCGGGCATTTCAAGGCTCTCAAGGGAAAATACAGGCATTAACTGACTCTCTCTCGCTCTCAAGAGAGTCCATCAATGTCTGCATTGGCTCTTTAGAGAGTCAGCCAATGCCTGCATTGGACCTTGAGAGAGTCAGCCAATGCAGGCATTGGGCGACTACACATCAGTCAGTCAATGCAGGCAATGGCCGACTTTACATCAGTCAGTCAATGCAGGTATTGGCCAACTGCGCATTCAGTCAATGCAGGCATTGGCCGACTTTACATCAGTCAGTCAAAGCAGGCATTGGCCAACTGCGCAGTCAGTCAATGCAGGCATTGGCCGACTGCACATCAGTCAGTCAATGCAGGCATTGGCCGACTGCTCCTCAGTCAATCAATGCAGGCATTGGCCGACTGCACATCAGTCTGTCAATGCAGGCATTGGTTGACGGCACATCAGTCAGTCAATGCAGGCATTGGCCGACTTCACATCAGTCAGTCAATGCAGGCATTGGCCGACTTCGCAGTCAGCCAATGCAGGCATTGGCCGACTGCATGCACATAAATTCTAATACAGTCAATGATAGACTCAAGAGACTGATGCAATGTAGGAGTTATACATTCCACCGCATTAACATGTATAGGGACTGCAGGCATTGAAACACCATTTATTCATACAGCTAATGCAAATAAAATCTTCCTTGTAAAAATATAGTTATACATGAAGATGTTGTATTTGTCAAAACTGGTTTTTTAAAGCAGACTTCTATAAATCAAGTAATGCCGATAAATTATCAATTTTAACGTTTATTTTAATTATGGAGAAGAATTTGCAGAGAAGTAAATATAAAAAAGGATGTATTTCCAAGGACAGTTTGATGAAAATTATTTGCGTAGAATCTTTATGCATTGTCAAAATGTCTTCTTGATTCCTTAAGTAATCCATTTAGTCTGTGCAGTTCTCATGCAGTACTTCGCCTGAAAATAGAATCGGAGTTAGTTACACAACATTGTTTGAATTCTTTTAAATTTGTATATATAATTTCGGTATTGTTTCACCAAATAATTACAATTCATCGTCTTGTCCCAACATAATAATAAGTGTTATACGCTCTATATATTACTTAAAATGCTTCTTTCGCATATTTTTAATTTTATGTATTCATGTAATCATCACTCAATAATCAAATACAAGTAGTGAGGCACAATATTGAATATAATACCTTATGATATGGTCGTTGGCCACCATTTTAAGTTTAACAAACAGACTCAGGTCTCATAGAATCGGGTATCATCACAGACTGTAGTCTAATGTTGCTGTAGATTCCATCTGAGTGTCACTCAACACTGTTAAAAAAATAAGACATGTATTTAAAAATCCCCAGACAAAACAAACATGAACTTTGTAACTTTTGCCACTACATGCATTATGAATCACAACGGCCGAACCAAACTCTTTGGTGAGAGTGGGACACAGTGTAAAAAAACTTATCAGACGAAATACATGTAATTAAGGGGTGCAACCTTTAAGATTTCTAAACACACGCCATAATTTGCAAACATTTCTTGTTTTGTTCTACGCTAGAAATCGAAAAAGTACGATTTATTTTAGAAAGAAGCTTTACATAAAAACTGGAAAATCCCGACCTTAAAAATAGTTATAAATGCATTTACCTTTTTTTATATTGTTATATTATAATACTTGGGCAAGTTAGAAATTAAAAAAATTGCCAAATAAACACAATATAGTTGCATAATTTGAAAATAAAAGCATGGTAGGCTACTTTGTACAAACCTTCAATGTGTCTTAAATCTGCAGCTGGAACTTTACGTCTTGAAAACGCATACTATAGGATAAAGATACACTGGACGAAGCTTTGCTTCAAGAAGACCACAACTGGTGTTTCCATTGCATAATAAAAATTCCATACTTTTTTAATCGCCCACATATTATTTTGCTGTGTGAATGATCAGTCTTCAAACAGGCCTAACTGTTGGGTGATGCACTACGTACCTATATGACGTCACAATATTACCGAAACTAAAATCCGCGAAACGTTAATAAGCCAAGGGGTTAAGATGATCTTTTTGAAATTCAACGATAAAAAGGACGTATTTCCGGTTACCAAAAGTTGTGTGTTTTTGCTGAATGATTATACATGTGCACATTATACGTTTTACCAATCAAGGCATCGAAATAGCTGACCAGCCTACAGCAGAGGGGCCGATGATCGAGTGTAACGTCAGGCCGACAGACTGTATATCGTTCTTCGTGGTAAGTAGTTTGTATATCTGTTCATAAACCAGTTGTAGATAAAAGTGTTTACTTACAAATAACATAAAACTTACATTTAGACGGCCGAATTTTTTTTTACTCATGATTAATACTCGGTCTTAATAGCTACTTTCACTTTTAAATACAGAGGCGTTCAAAAGATGGTGCATCGCAAGAAATTTTAATTTATGACGAATTAAAATAAAAATTTACAATCAAAGTAATTTCAATCTATTTTTCCTTCACAATTACAAAAAAAAAAAAATTAAGGATAATAATTATTTATTTCAGTTTTAAAACCCTCACCTTGTCAGGATGGACATGTAAACTCGTCCATTAGTGCATTACAAACCAGTCATATACAGATGAAAGTGAATAGTGAAAATATAAAAGAAATGAAAACTCTGGTAAGATTATGTTTCTTTTTTTTATTTGTTTGTATTTGTTTGAATGACAGGGATAGAATATTCATTCAATTCTGAAAAGAAGAGGGGGGTCTGGAGTTTTTTTTTAAAGTAGTTGTGCTAAACAAATTGAATAAAGATAATATCTCCAGTGGCAGGAGTTTGGAAGTACATGTAATATACCTCTGGTTATCCTGAAATTAAATTATTCAGTGTTGTTAAGGCTTGGGAATGCATAGTTAATCTGCCTTACAGAATATATTGCCATCATATTCTTACAAAGTCTTTTCATTTGAAGAAATAAATTTAAACTTTTTGTGAACTATTCTAATATTATAAACAGTTAAATTAAATGAAATATTTGAAAAAAAAAAATTGGAAAGGAAATGTAAAAATAAACGGTAATTCTCGATTATTTTAAAAAGAAGTTTACTCTAATACTGCATGCATTTCTTTTTCAGGTATACACGGGTTAAAAACTACAATATAGACCAAAGGAAAAGAAAAAGATAGAGGATCAAGAAAACGCTTTATAATATATGACAATAATTTAATTTCACTTGCTGCATCATTCGGAGGAACTTATAATATTTTGGATAACATAACTTGCCTACGTCACAATGAGTTACGTCATTAACGTATTAATCCACTTGACGTTACTTTTAAAATAATGCTCAATTTGAAGCCTTTTTCCGGAGGAAATATAGTCTTATTGTCTACTCTGAAATTAAATTATAAGGAATGAAGCTAATTCCAACTTATGTTATCCGATATAACAAAACTTGGGGCAGTTTACGCTTTCTTATAAACCGCTTCGCGGTTTATAAAGCGTAAACTGCCCCAAGTTATGTTATATCGGATAACATAAGTTGGAATTAGCTTCATTCCTTAATTAAATGAATAACTCATATGCACGAATAAGTGTGCAACTTTATTTGCTACTGTTCATATACTTTATATTTATACCATTATACATACATCTGCACATGTGCATATATCAAGTGAATTTGTTTTGTTACATCAGTTTCAGTCATGTTTTAATTAGAACACTTAGTACTTTGTTGTCAATTAACAGCCAAAATCATTTTTATGCTGGCTTCTTTAGAATTTATAAAATGAATAACACAAAAAAAAACAACTTTCACCTCATGCACGTTTACTTTTCTTATGTCCATTGCGACGCTTTATGGTTTCAAAATTATCTGGCCTCCTATTATTTTACATTTATCAATTTTCAAATTAAAATGATATTGTTTATCATTAATTCTTGACATGATAATTATTAACAATCAAACAGCCATTTTAATGCCTGCACTGACTGACTAATGTAAGGTCGGCCAATGCCTGCATTGACTGACTGTGCAGTCGGCCAATGCCTGCATTGACTGACTGTGTAGTCAGCCAATGCCTGCATTGACTGACTGATGTAAGGTCGGCCAATGCCTGCACTGACTGACTGTACAGTCGACCAACACTGACTGTGCAGTCGACCAATGCCTCATTGACTGACTGATGTAAGGTCGGTTGATGCCTGCATTGACTGACTGTGCAGTCGGCCAATGCCTGCATTGACTGACTGATGTAAGGTCGGCCAATGCCTGCATTGACTGACTGTGCAGTCGGCCAATGCCTGCATTGACTGACTGATGTAAAGTCGGCCAATGCCTGCATTGACTGACTGATGTAAGGTCGGCCAATGCCTGCATTGACTGACTGATGTGCAGTCGGCCAATGCCTGCATTGACTGACTGATGTGCAGTCGGCCAATGCCTGCATTGACTCACTGTGCAGTCGGCAAATGCCTGCATTGACTGACTGATGTTAGGTCGACCAATGCCTGCATTGACTGACTGTGCAGTCAGCCAATGCCCGCATTGACTGACTGATGTAAGGTCGGCCAATGCCTGCACTGACTGACTGTACAGTCGACCAACACTGACTGTGCAGTCGACCAATGCCTCATTGACTGACTGATGTAAGGTCGGTTGATGCCTGCATTGACTCACTGTGCAGTCGGCAAATGCCTGCATTGACTGACTGATGTTAGGTCGGCCAATGCCTGTATTGACTGACTGTGCAGTCAACCAATGCCTGCACTGACTGTGCAGTCGGTCAATGCCTCATTGACTGACTGATGTAAGGTCGGTCGATACCTGCACTGACTAATGTGACATTGATATACATTATAATGCACAATACCTGATAGAGTCTGCATTCATACTGCATAGAAATGGTAATCCTGCATTGGGGAATTGGGAAATGTAAATTATCTGCATTCGGATAAAGTTGCACAAATTCAGTAGCATTGCAACAATGCAGGTAAGGAGATGTAAAATGGAAAAATAATTCTAATGAAATCATCTTCATCTGGAATTTTTGAATTTTACTTTTACCAATTTAACTTTATTTTGCTCAACTTTGAAAAGCAAAATTTTGTCATTTCAAATGTGTGCTTCAGCATAGGTTTTTGTAAGGTGATGCACGAGTCATTTATAAACAAAGCTTTAAACAGTGATATTTGCATAAAAAATTAGTTGAGACAAATCAAAATTTAGTTGAGACTCCGTTATCTAGTAAGTTACCTGTAGCCATCCAATAAGTTATTGAAAACTGTCCATTATTTCTAGTAATGGACAGATTTTAAAACTTATTGGACAGGTTCAGGTAACTTATTGGACTGCTTTGGACCTTGCAAGAAATAGAAAGCATTAAAAGAACAAAAGATGAAGTCATACTAATGTTTTAAATTGATTTAATATCTACTCACCATCTATATATGTTTCAACAGCACATACTTCCACTAGGGGTCCTGATAAATCGATAGGTAGGCAGTGATACTTGAATTTTGAAGGACTTGAACACGTCTGTTGTTCTGCAAGTATCTCACATTTTTTTATCTTTGCACTTGTATTTGTACTTTCTTCATCTTCTGGACACTTTTTTATTGTTACTACTGTCCTAGCGGACAGAGGACAACGCTGGGTTTCCGAGAAATTGAGCTACAAAATTTTAATAATACGCTTTGTGAAATACTAAATCTTATTTTTTGTTCAAGTTTAATTTCTCATAGCAGATCACAATCAAATAAAATGAACACAACATTGGTATAAACTTTAAACTTACG